CTCTCGCGCACACAAAATGGCTCGTTCCACACACACACACACAGAGCCGAGCTTTAATGAAACACAGAGACCCAGACGTAATAGTAGCTACTGTACTGCATCATATTATTTTCGAATCAATAATTTTTCAAATTATGATCTTTTTAAAAAAATCTTTTAAAAATAAATAAATGTATAACCATTTTTTCTCCTGGTCTCTCGCGCCCCCCCTGGCATGCCTCTGCACCCCCCACGTTGAGAACCACAGCAGTAGAGGCACAAAATACAACTATGAACCTGAGATTGATAATATTTCCTAGAATTTGCCTGAGGAGTATAAGGGGTGGAGTTTCCTCTCTGTACTTAAGACATGTCTTTCCTGTAAATGTTTATGGAAATTAAGATGGAAAGCCCAACATAACTTTGAAATGGTTTATTCTTGTTAAGGAACGCCCAATGTCTTGATGCAGTAATTTCATCAAAAACAAACAACATGAAAGTTGTTAATTAGTTAATGTTTGGAGAGTCGCGCAGGAAGAGGCGTAACACCTGCTCGCTCAACGTCAGGCTGCCAGGGTCCTCCAGAGTCACCGCTGCATCCTCCATCCTGCTATCTCCCTCTGAAGATGTCTGAACTCACCAATATGCAGCTGGACATGGGAGGGGGTCGTAAAATCTTGGCATGTTTATTGTACATCTTGTCAATGCTGTTACCAGTAACAGATGTCTCGTATACACCAACACTATTTTCCTCAAACATGCTAAAAATGTTGATATGAAGATTGAGGGAATTTCCTCTAAATCTGCAAACACTGATATTGGTATTGGAGCGGATAGGATAAGGAGAGGATAATAGGTAAAATGTGGTTCTTCAGTCAAAGCCCCTAAATGGTATAGAGTTTCACTTTTTTCAGTTTGGAAGTCTATAAACCCAGCTTGCCCAAGGTATAAGCCGCCATTATCACCCCATGAAAAATACGTCAGGAAAAACAAATAGCTGTAATGATTATTTCCACGAAAATGTCAAACCACAGATCAAGTGTGGCACGAATTCCTGTAGATTTATCATAGCTTGATCAAAATGGTTGCCATGTGTTTTAATGCAGTTGCATTTCCTTGCTAGTGTTGCTTTCATTAGCCGTCTTTTCTTCCCTCAGGTCCCGCTTTTCTTTGCTGTGGGTGTGTAGGCGTTTTGGTTGAAGGCCATTTACAGCAGTGGCAAGTAGCGGAAATATTTGTATATAGAAGAGGTAAAGTGGTTCCACTTTTATTGCTGTTGTAAACATTTTAAGCATTTTTTGGTTCTCCGGGCGAAAAAAAATACCAAGAAATTAGGAAAAAAACTATATAAATACAACATGTTGGGAAATACCTCCCAATCGTTCTCCATGTTCTTGTAACTTGAGAGAAAGTGTTCACTGTTTGGGAAATTCTTGCATATATTAGATTTCATTACATCCAAATGTCTGAGGGCGTGCCCTTATGATGGGGCATGTACCCATGTTATTCCTGGTTTCAAATATGAAATTGCTTAAAATACAAACTGTTGAAGTCATTTCTCCCACACAGCTGTATTAGATACAGTAAGTCCCAGTCAAACTAAAACATGAGCTCTGCTTGGCCAAATAAAAACCAAAGGGGAAAAGATTAGTTTTTTTTACTCGCAAAAATACAACAGTCACCCAAGAAGACCAACCATCAGTCAAATCTTTCCATGTGACCTGCCTCGGATCGACTCTGAACTCCGATAATTCAAGTTGACTTCTGTGTTACCTCAAAATGCCTGCAGCCGTGCTATAAACTCCCAAAGAGAGCTGGTGTGGTCTCGTTGGAGCTGTGCAGGAAGTCTTGTTGCGTTTTCTACGATTTGTGTCTCCTGGAGAAAACAAAAACGATGTCTTCATTCAAACATTATCCAGGGGGAGCCTTTCCTGCTTAATATAGCTGATACTTAGGAGATGAAATATGGCAATAATAACATGTTACATTTAAGATAACTTACCACCAAAGGGAAATACTGGTTTAGGTTTAGGGTGGGGCGCCGGGCGGTATGTAAACCTCTCCTCCAACATACACTGTTACTTCACTAGACCTTCAGTATATACACTATTTCATATTTAATCAAAGTGAGAGCTGGCATCTGCAGGCCTGGCATATACCCCAGACAAATATTGTTCTAGAATTACCCACATGAAAGATTATTTTCCAAGCAATACTGTATATTCCGTGTATATGTATGAGCTATCGCTGCCATGACGTGGGAACCCTCTGATTCATTTGGTGTGTTTAATGTTTTGACTTCAATTTGTACTATATCTTGCTCAAATATTTAAACACTGTTGTATATTATAAAACGTATTGAAAGAGTTGTCATGAGCTTTTAGCTTTTCTGACTAAACCACATCCCCTTAATCTGCCCTCCACTTTCTCCCTGTTAGTGATATCCAAGAGTACATTTCAATAATTATAGTTACAACAAGCCTTTCTTTCTAGCAAGAACATCCCAGATGTAAATACTTATGTTATGGCCAAGCTCCATTTAGGTATTCCAGAAAGCCATGTCAAATACCTTGGCCAAAGATCAGACAAATGTGAAAGGAATGAAGCTACAATTATTGACATTTATTACACCTGCGCTTACCTGCTATGACATGTCTTAGGGATTTTCCTTTGGAAAAGAAAACAACAAGTCATGGCCTTAAAGCAAGAGGTATTAAATTGTGTCAGCGATAGCTCCTGGTTTACGAACCAATAGGGAACAAATTATGATACAATCTGTTTTGTATGTCAGCATAGAATAATGAATCTTGACAGACTTGATTTATAATTTCCATGTCCAATCAAAGTATGATTCCATACCTTTAAATGTAAGATTGACTTGCTCGTTGACGACTGTTTCCCGGTTAAGATGTGAAAGAGGAGATAAACACAAGCACATCTCCTTCCTGTGCAATTGAAAAAGAAATGAACAATAATGAAGGCAATAATTGAGACAGTTTCAAATGAGATCAAGGCAGCTGTGGTTATAAGACAAATGCAATGCTGTAATGCACAAACTCAATTAAATCGACTTCCATTTTATTAGTCCATGTGACATTCTGCATGGCTAGTTCTAGTGGTGTTAGTAAAAAACAGAAAGTGTAATGTTCCTGTAAGAGTTCACAAAGTTCTCATAAAATCCTAATGTAAACCTTTCAGCTTGACTCAAAATTGCTATGTGGTGGAGCTAAAAACAAGTTTGTTGACATTCACCATGGAAAAGTTATTATTTTTTTGTACAAGGTTTTGGGGGATGAACTTAACAAACACATTTCCTGAAGGCCATCTTCTAAATATCCCCAAAACACACACTGTGTACTGAGAATAAGGTCATTTCACTGATGGGATAAAGTTGGCGTTATTTGATATTCTCAATGATTACCAAACCAATCACTGTCCCTCATCACTTTCTGAAGCTCCTGTCTGTGGCAATTGGTTCCAAATCAAAAACTTTTAATAAATTGGGTCACAATTATAGTTTGAGTAATTTCCCACAACAGCTAGTCCAGTTGTTTTTAGCACATTTCTCATATAGCAGTAAATAGTGCACTTGTTGGGGATTATTTTCAGCTGCGGATTAATACACATTTGAAATGAGTAGCTGTCACAGTCGTGTCCCTGATGATTTCTCCCGCCTGCCGGAGGGATCAAACTGTCTGGTCACAGCTCTGTTGTTTAAGCTTATGTCATCACTGCTGTTCAGCACGGGCGGCTGAGCTGCTGTATAATAGATGATTTCCAGGAGATAAGCTCACTGAGTGAAGCAGCAATCATCAAGAAACCTTCACATATTATAATGTCAAAGGTGTTGTTGTTTTTTCCTGCCATATGGTTTATTTAGTGTAATCGGATCTTTCCCCACATGAATCCCCATTGTATAATAGTTTATTACATTATAAACAGCATCCCGCATTATAAGAATTGTATTATTTTATTTATGTATTTATTCATTTTAAATACAATCTGAGTACAGAATATTTGTTTCACCCAAAGGTTGATAGTTTGGTATAAATGATGAACATCCATTCCTCTGAAATTATGTTTATTCAGCAGTCAATATAGAATGTTAGATAAAACATTTTTTGGCACAGTTGCTTAATGATCATAAGCTGTCCCGTTTCTGTGTGGTAATCTAAATAAATATGCAAAACCATAATTTACTTCCCAAATAAATACAATATAAACTACAATATAAGATGCACCGCATCCGCGCCCCACTCTGCCGCTCCTCAGGAAAAACAAAACAAAAACATAATTTATCGTACTTCAGGCAAACAGTTGCAATGGGTTCAAAACCAAATAAAGATTGTCCAAGGTGAAAAAGATGCTTCATAAGTTATTGCAATAGCTTATTTTACCCTAAAGTTCTACCAGGCGTTACAACAAGGAGGCATTTGATTGGGCCAATAGAAGGCTGTACTGTGGGCTTCATAGGAAGTTACAGGGTGTATTGGATGGGCGCAAACACATTTCCAGATCCTTATTCTACGTCATAGTTTTCTGTCAGCCAGAAGAAAAACCTGCCACTTCTGATCACTAAAACCATTGTTCTTGTTTCACACCTGTGCCTCAGTTCAGCTGAAAGTGTAAACGTTCATAAATTACACCCAGAGACGATATTAAAAAGGTTATATCATCTGGAACTGGAGACATGAGATGTTAACAAATCTAAGTTTGAGAAAACATCTTGCGTGTTGAATTTACTTGGTGTGTTTTGGCAATTCTTTGAGGAAAATAATTCCAGAGAATTATGGGTAATTACAATAATGGGCTATTTGGGAAAAGTATAAAAAAGGACTCAAACACGAGTGTGATGAGATTTTCAATGGAGAGCAGATGGGATCTATTTTCACTAAAGTGAGTGTGTTTTAAAACAGGCGCTCATTGATAATCTACACAACATCAACAAACACAATCATTAAATGTGGGGGCAAACCTGGAGCTATGGAAAATGATTTTCTTCACTCGTCAAATTCCTTATCAATAACGCTTATTCTTTTCCTTGTATAATAACACTGCAATCAGTAAGAGGATTGCTTGCAAGCAGGGAAACAGGGCACAAAGTCATGATCGCTGATAACAAGTCAACACTCCTTTAGGTAGATATGCTTCCTGTAGACAGCTGATCACTAAACAACACTTGAGGTCAATGGTCCAAACTTATATTTATGGATTTGAAGTAAATTATTGAGCTTTTTTTTTGCCTTAAAGGTGGTTTAGTGTCTGCATTTGGTCTTACTAAACTGAATGCCCATTAATATGGCGTGTAGGAGCCGCAGCAATCTAGTCCTCCATGACCCACAGTTCATCTATTGCATGTGCTAGCCAACTAGTAAAATGCAAGATCACAAACATACAACATTGCTACATCGCTGTTGTACCACAGTTTACAGTGTTACTAGACAGATAGAAAATATAATAAAAGCGTTTTTTGGTATGAACAGTCATTTTCTGTCTCTTTGCATGGAATCCACAAAATCACAGCACTTGCTGTCCACGTGATTTGGATCCAATTAGTTTTGACAGACGTCAAAAGTCTCCCTGTTAGAAAAAGGCCGCCATGGAACAGCCATGAACACATTCCCTTCCTTTCCTCTTTTCCTTGAGATTTTATTCCATAGTTTGTCTTTAAACAGCATTCATGTTCAACTCTCCCAACAGTGTCTGAGAGCAGCATGAAGAGGTCCATTTCTCGGGGTCATACACACCCACAGTTCTTCGCCGACATATTTCGTACTGTGTGGTGGAGGTGCTTGTTGTCCTGGAAGGAAAACTGTTTTTCATAAGCGATGGGCCGGCAGCAGGGCCCGTTGCTGACCTTGTCCTTGCGGCCCTTCTTTTTGAAGCCTGTCCGCACCATGTGATCCATGGTAAGGTCGTAGTTCTGCCGGTGTTCCAGGCATTTCCCGCTGCAGTAGCGCAGCAGCAACGTCTCGTCGCTGTCATAGCCGAGACCCAGTTCACTTACGGTCAGCTCCAGCTCCCTCAAAGAGCAGGGCTTGGGCCTCCGCGCTCTTTTAGTCCTTCGGGCCTGGTTCTCTCCCAGGAGCCGGCTCTTCCTCCTCTTCCTGTCCAGCAAGGCGCCGACCACATGCCGAAGTTCGCCCTCCGTAAAGCTCTGGAACATCGCAGAAACTATCGGAGAGGAGGTAAATCATACGTTACTACACAGGTGGTAGCAGGATTATCTGATTTCTGTGTAACAATAATCAGATATGGCTCACAAAGATAACATACAGTAGTTGACAGGATAAACTCATGTGCAAACAAAATAAAACACGTTTATCTGACATCATGGCAGCTTCCAATAAGTCTTATCGTTATCTGCATCTCTTGAAGCTGATTCAAGTTGAGGAATGCCACTAAATGAGTCTGTGGGAAAGTTAAGTGTCATCCTTCCATATGAACTATGAGGTGCTAACTGACTGTGTTGCTGTGATACATTAAAAAGACAATCTGTAAACACCAAAGTAAGATGTGAGATGTCTCCTGTCCCCTTTAACACAACACCTTTTCTCAGACAGACAGGGAAGGAAGACAATAACAGTTTATCTTACACTCTGAGAGGACCGAGTTCATCTCGTCTGCGGAGCGGGGTCTCCGTTTAGGCCCACTCATCTGCCGGGACTTCACTGCCGATTCTGCTGATGAGGAGGAGGGTGATTGCGGTGAGGTCTTGAAAGTTGATTGTGAGAATGAGGACAGTTTTGATGAGGATGGAGACGAGTACGGGTATTTCGATTTAGGTCTGAATTGTCCGATAGTGGCCATGTTTCTAACGAAGACGATGGACAGGGCTGCGCCACAGAGCACGAAGGCAAAAGTAACACCTTTCCATAACTTCATCTTAGAACGTCAAGGAGCATTGAAACTCTGTTGAGAGAGGGACAAAAAGGACAAACGTCAAACATGTTCACACAGTCACTCCTTCAATCTCCTTCACTTGTCACATTAAAGCAAAGAGAACAATGAAAAAATGGTTATCTTCTGTGCAATCACATTTCTTTGACCTCCCCGATAAATCCATTTCTCTCAGCAGAGCTTTTATTTTACCGCCAGTTTACTTTTTCTGATTCTGCTGTCAGCTCGTTTTCACTCTAAGTGGGTTCATGATCCAGAGCTTGGCATCTCCTGCTGACACATGAGAATGCAGTGTGTGTTTAATCACGGCTGCCTGAAGAGGAAAAAACACAAGTGCAATTTTTTTATTTGAACTGAAGGCAGGCTGGATTAGTTTCACAACCCCTTGCCCTTTGACACCACTAAGAAGTGTATGTATTATTTCAAAATACCTGATGTGAATGAGAATCAAAGCTTCCTCTCTTCATTTCTGAAGAAAACACTTTTTGTTTTGCAGAGGTAAATGTTCCCGAACCATCCTCTTAAAGGAGGGGAATCCATTCCTCCCCTCACAGGAACCACACCTATTTACAATGCTATGTATGATGAGGTCTCAACATGTGTGTTTGCACATCCCTTTATCTTATACCGCCGCTCCCTATCAGTAGACACTGCATCGCAGCAGCCGCAAAAACTCACTTGGCAGGAGTTATCCCTTATGTTTCCTCTCTTCTTAATGTCACGCCGCAGGTATTTGAGTTAAGTTTTACAACCTCACTTCTTTGTATGTTTCATTTCATGTCACCAGTGAGCAATACATTTCCCCAGAGCCGGAAACGGCATACTGGCAGTGTCTAACAGCAAATCCAGACCAGCCTCCCAAAGTGTTTTGCCAGATTGAATTCTGTAATGTACATATACAGGTTCCTGCAGTGTTTACAATGGGAAACAATGGCATATATCGTTGTCTAGTTTAGCAGAAACAAAAATGTGGGTTTTTCCTAGATCACATTAATGTTTACAAAAAATAAAGGAACATTTTGTCTTTATGCAGTGAAGTAAGTGAAACAATGAAGGACTATATGCAAATTGCAATAGTTCTCCAGAGCGTCTGACTGTTTGAGACACCGCAGAATGAAAATATAAAGAGTGAGTTGCAGTGGTATACACAGAGTATAAACATGTATAACCAGTCCTATCAGTCATAGCTTGACTCATCACTCATAATTCCATATGCGCTTGACGTGGTAATCAGCCTCTGCACAATGAAGAGGTGGGATGGTAATCATTTGAAAGTCAAACATTTCAGCTAGCAGCCTCATATGACAGTCTGCTCGGTGCCCGACTGCATGATGTTCCTCTCACTGTGGGGTTTAATCACCAGACATGACGGATAGAAGCCTCTGTGGAAAGTCTCAGACATGTTGCTTCTGTTGGTTCAACACCAGAAACCCTGCTGCTCCATTGATATGATACATTTACAATTCTAAATGAGTTTGCTATGATAAAGTGCAAAGGATGAGGTCATTGTTTTCCTGTGCTATTAATTGGTCAGTTTTCAACAGTTACTCATCCTTGAAGTTATCAGTTTCACACGGCCGGAGAGTATTAACGTCTGTTAGCTTTGTGGCTCATCTTAATAAAATAATTAGCTGGTAAAGAACAGAAGAGATGTCTCATTCGCTGACACAGGAGGAAGCCTGATCATCAAACACCTATCCCTATGTCCCTGAAGACACTTTGATTGTCATAATTACTGCACTCAGAAACCCATTAGTCCCATCTGCAGTCAATTGGCGCCAATAAAAGTGCCAAGGAGCATTTTGTAGCGGATTAACTGATGATTAATCAGTACAGATATCTAATATATATCACTGGCCCCCCACTGTCATGGAAATACATATACAGATATTGATAGCGAGAAAGGGGCACCAGTGTTTTCTTTGGAGAGCAACGGAAAGACATGAATGAGGAGCCCACTTCCTCAGGACAAATGCTGCTATTTTCCAGAAAACAGAAGAGCAACAGTGCAGAGGATATAGTGGAACCCCAGAGGACCCTCCAGCAGAAGGAAAAGCCATCCTTGAGCCGAGACATAACAGTGCAGATGAGTCGCAAAGACAACTAGAACAGCTCGCTCACACACACACACACACACACACACACACACACACACACACACACACACACACACACACACACACACACACACACACACACACACACACACACACACACACACACACACACACATACCATGTATACACCACTTCAGGGGACATTACATTCACTTACATGCATTTCCTGGAGACTTATCCTAACCTTAACCATAACCAACACATGTCTAACCCTTACCCTTAACCTTACCCTTAACCTTACCCTTACCCTAATCCTAAACCTAACCAAGTCTTCACCCTAAAATGAATGATTCCCCTCATGGGGACCTCCAATTTGTCCCCATAAGGGCGGCGAGTCCCCACACGTGTGTAAACAGATTTAGGTCCCCATAAGTATAGTAATGCTAGGCCACACACACACACACACACACACATCTGATGCTCACAAAGCATCCGTATAGATATGCCCATGCATGCTCCTGTGTTCAAAGATGAGGCCAGTTCAATGTGTGAGGCCCAAAACAAACACAAATATCATCTATTCACAGGGAGAACAAGAAACATTCGCATGCATGATAGTTCTTTTCAGGAGTTTGTTTTTCTAGCGAGCGTAGAAGTGAATAAGGTATGTATGCAATGTGCACCTGATGTTTGCTGTCAAACATGAGTCACCTGAAGTGCTACCAGCAGAGTGAAAACAGTGTCAGATGATCATTAAGGCAACCGTGAAAGTGAAATGCCTCGCCAATAATTCCTCTGTCTGTGAAAGCCATTCCTGAGACATTATGTATTCTCCGACACATGCATTTGTCATTTGGAGTCCCATCCTCAACTGAGCTCGTGTTGTGACTCAAAGATCTCATTATTTCAAATGACACAATGAAATTGATGTTTTCCAGGAATAATTGGGTCAGTGGCGATGGCGCTGCTAAGCTGGCGGTAATGTAATTACAGCAGCATGGCACTTGTTTCCTCGCCTCTCTCCCATGACACTCAACAGAATGCCACAGCCGATGGAGGATGAACTAGAGATCTGTCAAAATGGAGATAAGGGGCGTCTGTGGTTAACACTTATGAATGAGGCGGGCAGACAGGGGGTGCCTTCTTTTCAGATAGCTTGGATCTAGAACAGTGTGACAGCCAGAGAAGATCACAGAAGAGAAATGAATGAAGAGTGTCTTTGTGCCAAGAGAAAAGCGGTTACCAACTTTTATGTCTGACCACCAGAATTTGCTCCTATACATTCCCTAAATACAGCCTGTTCTGTCTCACTCACTCACTCTCCCTCACTGTGACCAAAGTCTATGGCTGTGACTCACACATACCATAAACACACACAGGCAGCACTTGCGTGGTTTCACTTTTCCCAAATCATATGACACAGGCTTGTGTAGGAAACGAGACAAAGTCTAACCTTCCATTGTCGTCCAAACACCCACTTCACTTTCAGGGCGCACTCAGACTCCCAGCAGCACCATCACATAACACTAGATAATCCAGTTTACATAACACTGCCGCTTTTTCATATCTACAAATGTCCACAGGTCTAACCCTCGTGTGTTTGGCAACTCTCAACCCGAGGCCTCTGCCTACAGAACATTGTTACCACGCTGTGTGTCAGCTCAGTTCCACCCATGTGACCGGCTGTCTCTGTGCTACTTTGAACACACCCCGAAAATACCTGTACTAAAAAGATAACAGAGGAGCATAGCAAATAGCAGGAAGGCACCTACTGTGTTGTTCCAAGGAAACAACGTGCTTTAGAGAGTCCTAGAGAGGCCTTGTCTTGTATTGTCCCTCTTAAGTGAGCATCAGGAGGCCTGGGGACAGCTAGAGAGTGCTTGTGGAGGTAATAGGGACATATTCCAAAGATCAGGGCGGGATTAGCACTAATGCCTGCCGGCTTTATCTGCAGTCACGTGGGTTAACACCTGGCTGCAGTGCTGGTGGCGGAGCATTGGCCTTACTGTAAGTGTGTGTGTGTGTGTGTCTGTTTTAATCCGCCAGACACCTCGAACTCAGGGGTTATGCCAGCATGCACTGCCTACTGAAAAAGCACCAGCAGGCACTGCTTCTACTTCTAAAACCTGCGTTCAATCAGAATAATGAAGAGGAAAAGTAAGGAGTTTGGTTAGTTGGATCCGTCGTGTTGGCACCACAGAGGCTGTGAAATAAAGTGGATGTTCTGAGCCAGGATTGGCTGTGCTAAATCCAGCCTCGGTTCTAATGCAACTGAAAAAGGCTTAGGTTTGACTGCGCTGTCATTTTGCTGGGCAACTGCTATGGTTGGCTTGCGTTCTGTCACTCAGTAACCAAAAGGATAATTAAAACAAGGCTGTCCCCTGTTAGTGCGAAAGCTGCCGTTCATTATCGAGGAGAAAGAAGGGGAAACCATGTGTGCGGGATTCAAGACAAAAATGTTATAACTTTAACACGCATTCTGTAAAATACTAAAGAGGTTTCCTGCATCCTTGGTGGAGGTGAGCTGTTTAAAATATTGCATGGTTAACATCACAAAGATTTATAAGGATTAATCCGGTAATCTAACAGCCTAGCACGAAATCTCACAACTCAAAGCTGTGAGGGCGGCGTTAATGAGGCGCGGGAGAAGGAACACTTATAGGTGCACATTTGACCTCAGTCCCGATTTGTCTACCCTATTGCTGGAAGAGATGAGTCAAGGTATAGACCTGCATTTAAATAGCTTTCCAACAGACAAAGAGATGACATGAGGCTGGGCAGGAAAACCTCACCTTGCCTCATCATCTTGCAGTGAGCTGGTAGTAAGATTGATGATTGTTCTGGGCTACTTTCTAAAGAAGAGTCCATAAACTGCTCTTCTGGCTGCTAATCTGTCTATGTCAGATCCCTTTTAACACACCAACATCGCCTCTAAATCCACGTTAAACA